TTTATGGAGGAATGTTCTGGTCCTTACTGGTAGCATCTCACAGATACAAGGGAACAGGAGTCTAAATTCTTCCTTATCTTACTTAACCAAAGAGAGGGCAGCAGAACACGCCTGTTGGGCTATCTGTATAACAACTCTTAAAAACAGGAGGGCCTGGCCCAAGGCCTCTGAAGATAGCTACAAACCCAAATCTTCAATCATTGCAATTCAGGACCTCGCCAACCCAATGTCCGGTCATCAGGCCCACTTCAAGGCGCATTATAGCCAACTGAGTGAAGGGTGTCTGCTTATTACAGTCATAACTTCTTCAAAATATAAGGAAAATGATTAAAAGTAGGGTGGTTCCTAGAATTAGGAAGGTTTATTACAAAAGAACCAAAACCATGTCTAGTCTTATTTTTCTACTGCCTTGGCTTTTCTGAACCTGAGTTTTCCCTCACCAGATACACAAAGGAAAGATATTTCACATCGACCATTTCAGGGAAAGAAAGGGCCACCTGCATTAGCTAACATGGACTACAGAGCAGAAATCTACTGCAAGATGCATCAAGTGAGGACAAACTCTCGGAAGGCAGATCCAGGCAGCATGTTGATGCTACGCCGCTCACAGCCTGTGCCAGCAGTTCCATCCAAACACCCTCTACTCCAAGGCCGTAGCAAACTGAATAAATGACTAATAATTAAGTTGTCCCTCACTTCTTCCAGGAAAATAATTTAAAAACAAAATTGTAGATGTAGATACGTGGGAGTGATGCCACTGGCAATGTTAATCAGTTTGGAATTTACAAAAGGATTCCCTACAAGCCCAATCCATTTTTCTGCCCTTATCTGAATTTCAGTATTTTTCATTATATTGTCATATTGTTGTTGTGGTTATTTTTTGCCTTTTTTTTTTTTTTAAAAGAAAACACTGTCTTCCTAAAATTTATAATTATAAATATCAGAGTTAAAAGGATGCTGAAAATAATCTAGTCCAGACCTTTTAATTCTAAACATATAGAAAGTGTACCTGAAAGAAGATATAAATGGCAGAGCCTAAGACTATGGAAATAATGACTTAATTCCATCTCCTCTCAAATCCTATAATAGCTTCGTTTTTGTATTATTTATAGATAACTGCCTTTTATTAGGGGCATATGATAGCATGCCATATACTGGGCATCTGTCTTAGGAAGCAAAACTTTATAGTGTCAATCTATGTTAGGTAAAATCTTACAGAAACAGAAAGCTAAGTTTTTCATAAAAGTAGATAATGTCATTCAGATATTAGGAGACAACACAATGCAATCTTGGAGATGAAGGTATTCTAAGTATTTTCAGTACAAACACTTTTACATACAAAGTGACCACCCACTTAGAAGGGCCTGGACAGTATTTCATAACTCCCGGCTCCAGGCTCTTCCCACCACATCAAGCTGGCTTTTCTATATTATGATCTGGTACAGCATCTTGGATTTTTAACACATAAAAATCATAGATGTTATAAAATATCAATTCATGACCCATTCAGTTTCTAAGGCTACGTAGTAGGTTCTATGGCCCTCCTATATTTTTAGTCACTTTCCAAAGTCTAGGACAGTGGTTGGCAAACTGCGGCTCGCGGGCCACAAGTGGCTCTTTGGCCCCTTGAGTGTGGCTCTTCCACAAAATACCACGTGCGGACGCGCATGTACAGTGCGATTGAAACTTCGTGGCCCATGCGCAGAAGTCGGTTTTCAGCCTGGGTGAATCTATTTTGAAGAAATGGCCTTAGAAGAAGGGGGGAGGGGTGTCGGTCGGTTGGGCGACAGGAGATGCTGCGCAGCGCAGGGTAGGCGTGCGTGATTCATGCAGGAGTTGAGTGAGCCTGTCGGTCAGCAGTCTCATTGTGCAGTGGTTAGTGCTAGTCACGTCCGCAAATCGCGCGCGGGTGACAAAAGATAGACAAAACAAGTATACAAGACGAGTGTGGATGAGAGAGTTGGAAGGGGTCAACCTCAGCGAACGTACCTCAATCAGATTGAGGACCTTTTTAGTAAAGGCCAGCTTAGGAGTACCCTAATTAAGTTAATAACAATGTACCTACCTATATAGTTTAAGTTTAAAAAATTTGGCTCTCAAAAGAAATTTCAATCGTTGTACTGTTGATATTTGGCTCTGTTGACTAATGAGTTTGCCGACCACTGGTCTAGGAGATCCACTAATTTCAAAAGGCAAGACAAAAATACCACAGCTCTCATGGTAGAAAATGAATTAAGTACTGAACAGCCAAATAATGCTGAGGGCACAGGCCTCCCTGTCACAAATGATCAGGTGAAACTCACTCGTATTCACGCCTTCCTGCTGCCTCTGTCCGACTCTTCCAGGCCAGGCTGCATTGACTAAGGACCAGTTTATCCCCAGCTCATCCATCTGAGGGTCAACACCCTGAACCTAACAGCTCCTGAAGTCACGTCCCCTGGAAGTACAGCGTCAGCCTCCTCTTCTGCCACTATCTGTGAGAATTTAAGCTACGTCCCTCTTCAGGCCTCAATCTGCTCATGGAGAAATGGCAGCGTTCTCTCCAGCCTGACGATGATATGGTCTATGATTTAAGGGGCAGCTATTTTCATAAAGGGAAAGGAGGGGGTGAATTCGGGTGGCCTCTTGACATACCGATTTGAGTCCTGACCTTTCTCTGTCTCTCGTCAGCCGTTCAGCCTGTGGGTGTAGAGTCACATTTTAGAGCGTGTGGGAGGACGTTTGAGTAGAAAGAACTGCACGATCCTCAGACACAACTGGAAGAGCCAGACAGAGATGGGCAAAGACAGAACAAGCAGAGAGGCTCAGGAACAATGCGGGGAATGTGGGAGGAAGGGCTGCCTCGCTGCCTCCTGTGAGGTATTAGCCTGGACTGCATCCTGCCAGCAAAGTGACATAAATGCAGGATGAAATGCTACCCACAAGTACTCTTCTGCTTCATTACATGGAATCGGGGCAGCTCTGTAACAAAGGCTTGCTCCAGCCTACCCAAAGGATGGAGCACACAGCAACACTATAAAAATCCCTGTGTGTGTGGTCCTGGAAGACTTGTCCAAGTCGGTCTCGGCCAGCACAGCATCAAGGCATGCAAAGAACTCTCAAATCACCATCTGGAGCCAGAGTCATAAACGTTACCTCTGAGATGCTACCAAGCTCAGCTAGCCACCGTCTATGTCCTTATCCCATTATGTAGGTCCCAACACTGCACAACTGTAGGGTACACCCTTCACATTTGAGGTCACCACAAATCCGTACATATATTACGACAACTTCCTGGCAGGGGACAGTACAGGTTTTGAAGAAAGGGCAGCAAAAGGATCATATGGACTAGTAGCAGGACAGCCCCTTCCAGCCCTGCATAAAAGCACATTACAGTCTCCAGAATAATACGGAACTTATGCTTCCATTACCTATGCTCATGTTAACTACAATGTGGTGATGTCACCCTAGCTCTATTCAGGGTCCCCAGATATTGCACTATTGTTACGAAGATGACAGACAACCTTAAACGAGGAAAAACATCAATAAAATGGGAGGCCCCAGAAGCAAAAGTCCATGTTCGAGCAGTGGCCACCTACAGAAATTCGAATGTTAGTCTGGAAGGCGCTAACCTCCCTCCCAGGCTCACTGTGGGCTTCCCAGGCTCTGGCCGGCCTCAGGTTAGTGATAACCTTCCCAGGGGTGGTCGCCATCTGCAAAAGGGGGAGAGTAGACCTGGAATCCAACAGTGCTAACCACAGCATTCGCACACGTGACACGAATCTGGAGCACTTCAGAAGGTGGACGAAGAACTGGATCACCAGTGAGGATAAGAAATGAGTTCCCATCTGTGCTTCGTCTAAATAGGTCACATTGAATGACTCCTTATAGCGGGAAATGTTAATGATTTCTCCTCAGTCTCAAAAACTGGACGATATTTTTGATTTTCTTCTTTTAAAAGTAGAGTTTATTAAGGTAAATAAAAATCTTTACAGAGTAAATTCCATCCTGTTAGTGCATAGTTTTGTGTGTTGGAAAAACTCATGAAATCTGTAACTATCACCAATAGTCAAGATATTAAACAGTTTCATCACCACCACCCCAAATTCCCTCATACCCCATTATAGTCAAACTCTAGCCCTCGCTCAATAACCACTGATTTGATAAAACTGGACTATACTTAATTCAAATTTCAACACTGTTTAAACTTTCCCTTAGATGTTTATCATATTTCATCGATTCTCTCTCTCAACACACACACACACACACACACACACACACTCACACAAATACACACCTAGATTTAAACAGTGAAATTAGGATGTGTCTTACAACTGATCCCATTTTACCATAATTGGCAACAAGTTTTCTTCTTAGATATACATAAAATAATGTGTTTTATAATCTATGGTGCCTTTTTAAAACTCAATGAAATATATTAAAGCCATTAATATTTGAATGCTTACTATGGGTTCAGCATTCTACTAGGCCCTGAAAATATAAAAATGAATCAAATGGTCCACAAGAAACTTTTACTTGAGGGAGGGAGATAAACAATTATAATAAAATGTAATCATGTCTATAGTGGAATGTTATCCATTCACTGGGAGCTAAATAAAAATATCTCTAGATTGGCCACCCTTCTTCTTTCAGGCAAAACTCCCCTCCTCCTGAACCCCCAAGCATATCCTTCCATGCACACAGGAAATAAGGGCAGAGGAAGTATCATTCGGCTTCCCTGCTCATTCCAGGAATGAGTTATTGCTCACCATCTGACATATTGCCTAGGAACAATCGAATTATTTCTTCCACAATTCGTTGTTGTCGTAGGAAGTCTCATTTTAGTGTTCAACAGCTGCAAGGCTTTTATGATAATATCAAAAGGCAAGTCACTGAAAATAACTGCTCAATCTGGGAAAGGCAGATGCCCCAAATCTCTCACAGACATGCTTTGAGGTCCCCAAATTCTTCCCCGCACAACTTTGAAAGGGGGATGTAGAGAAAACAGGTGGTGTCCTTACCTGGCTCCTGAAAGTGTTCTTCATCTGACAGAGTTCTAGACAAGATAAGTATTAATGCTTCTTTAAACTGGTCAAAATGCACCTAAAAACAAGCAATTAAAAATAAATTCACAACAGTTCCCACAGTCTTAAGGTAACAAACCCATCTACATACAAGGTACCAGGACCACTTGTTATCAGCCTGAGAACCTTGAAGTAAGTCATAACCTGCTTTTGTTCCCTTTTCCCTCCCCTTCGTCTCTCTAAAGCACTAGAGGGAAAATGGGCTGATTATTTTTGACACCACAGTGTCAGAAATGCTAACATCAATATTTATTCAACACAGAGTCATAAACGCTAATATCAATACTTATTCAAAACCTTCTTTAGAAACACAGAAGAGGATGTGTTTGGAACTCTTAACTACTTTTATTTTTCTGAACAAGACCAGAAAAGAAAGATGTTATGTTAGATATTAGGAAAAACTTCCCAAGTAAATGATCCATTGTAATGATGCCCCAACGATGCTTTTATCTCTTAAGATTTCTAGAAAGAAGTAAGTTACCTTTTGAGGATGACTTGAGTATTGTCTTGCCTGGGGCAGGTATGTAATATTTATGTCCCAAGGCCCCTATGATACTATAAACAAGCAGGAATCGATAGCAAACACAAAGGATAAGAGGACCTTGGAAAGCATTGTCCTGAATTCTTAAAAAACACAGTTACCTTGACTTAAGTAGGAAAGAACCTGAGTTTTATGTAAGTAAATACTTAGAATGGGGATATTGCTTTGGCTAAAGGGGTTAATGATTTTCTTTCTGGCCAAGTATACTCTTCTATAATGTGAATGTATGGGATCTCACCATGGGTCAGAGAGAGATTGTATTTCTTCTCACCACCATTCTAGCTTGATAATGTGGCATCTACTTATACAGAAGCCCATATTAAACACAAAGTCAGCAAATTTGTAATCTGTGCTGTTTTGGTCTCTTTGGATATCATTACAAAACAGTACCTAGGAGTTTAAATATAGATTAAAAAAAAACAAAAACACTTCCAAATTAAAACCGGAAAAGCAACAGACCTCATTAGTCATCTAAACAATGGGGGGAAACGCATATAATGTCTTATCCATGCAGATCAAGGCAAAGGAGAGGAATCCACTGAGACTCTTGTCATAAAATTGTATAACACACACACACACACACACACACACACACACTAGGCCAGGGGTGGGCAAACTTTTTGACTCGAGGGCCACAATGGGTTCTTAAACTGGACCGGAGGGCCGGAACAAAAGCATGGATGGAGTGTTTGTGTGAACTAATATAAATTCAAAGTAAACATCATTACATAAAAGGGTACGGTCTTTTTTTTTTTTTTTTTTTTTTTTTTTAGTTTTATTCATTTCAAACGGGCCGGCCCGCAGGCCGTAGTTTGCCCATGGCTGCACTAGGCCCTGAAACTTACCAGACTCTCCCAAAGCATTGAATGTGATGTCCCTACCACATTCGTTTTGATTAATTGGAATTACATTCTAAAGTCATATTCCTTCAGATCATGCAGACTAAAAATCAGCATAATCAGAGCCAGGGCAGAAATCTGTCAAGGGAGCCAGGACCATCCAATCAATGAAAGGGTTAAAGATTGCAGAAATGGAAGCTGTGCTAATTAGGTTTCTCAGATGACAAATCGATGAGAAGCCTGCGGAGGGAGGGGGGACCCTGCAGTGTCCCAAGGTCAGAGGAGGGGTTCAGGTCCCTGGCATCCCAGCTCCAGTTCCCAGAGGCAAGGCCACCACCTTTCCAATCAGCCCGTCCACAGACATCACACACCCAAGGGCTCCCCGCTCAGGGGCATGTCCAGGCATTTCTACTTCCTGCCACAGTCATGCCTCCTTGGGGGAGGGGGAGAGAAAGGTGAAGAGCACAGGCTTTTGGTTCCCATCCTGACTCAGCGACTCACGTCCTCTGTGAGTTGGCTAAATGACTAAAGCTCTCCAAGCTTTTGTTTGCTCATCTGTAAAAATGGGGCTAACAACTAATATCTATGACTCATTCAACAAATATTTACTGAGCATCTGCTATGCACCAGGCACTGGCCTAGGCCCTAGTGATGCAGCAGTGGATGAGTGACGGAGGTGCCTGCTCACACGGAGCACACATTCTCAGGAAATGCCATGGGAGCCAGGCAGATGCTGTGTTAAGAGCACTGCATACATGTACAGTATCACCCCCTCAGAGAAGTGTTGGGGAGTTTTGTAAAGTGTCTAGATTAGAACTTCCTGGGACTTACTAGGTACTCACTCAGCAAGTGGGAGTTAATACTACTAACAGGTATGAGTAATATTCATCGTCACTGTCTCCACCACTTTTACAGAGAAATGGGGCCGTATTCTCAAGGAAAGCAACTGACCATGAGAGTGACCAACGAGCTGAGTAGGGGTGTGTGTGTGTGTGTGTGTGTGTGTGTGTGTGTGTGTGTGTGTGTTGCGGGTGGTGGGGGGTGACAGCAGGGAAGCCAGGAGCCTGCCTCGCCCCCACGCTCTGGGAAGCTGTCCAGCATCGGAGCAAATGACCCAGTCTACTGTGTTTAGGGACCCCAATTCCAGGTTTCTTCTCTGTCTTAAGATATTAATGGAGGTGACCTGAATGAAACCTCTCATTGCCAATGTTATGAAATGAACAGAAAGAGGCTCCTGCTTTGGAAGGGAGGTGCTGGCCTTGAGACTTTCAAATCCTTTATCCTTGTCTCGGGGCCTCTGCTGGGTCTTCTGAAGATATTTTGAGAGAGGTAACAGGAAAGAGCCCTTCCGAATTCTGTCCTAGCAGTTCAATTCAGTGAGCATTAGCCATGAAAGTCATCCTGGGGCCTCTGCACCTCAGTTTTACACACACCCCCCAAAAATGACCAAAACAGCTATAATCTGGAAGTTAATTCTAATCAACTCCCAAGGCTTGAATGTACCATATTTAAGGGACACTTAGGCCTCATACAAGCACACCCACCTCTGAGACAGTATCAGCCTCATGTGCAGCTGCTCTCTCTCAGCCTCAGGGATTTACTAGTAGGCAGCGGTCGCCAACCGATGGTCTGCGGACCACTGGTGGTCCGTGAGGTCCGAAAGGTTGGCGACCGCTGATTTAGAGTACGGCAGACAATCGGGACACATGCGGTGGAGTCCAAAGCTGAGGACAGCACCCTGAAGCCCTCAGTCCTCTCACAGAGAATGCCACAGAACCAACTCACAAGTTCTTTATTCTCACTCTACCTGGTTTATTTCAAGCTTCATTATCCCGTTTCCCAAACCTGCTACATATTAGAAGCAGCAAAAAAAAAGATGGAGTACTCCAAGGCAAGTACAAGAAATAAATACTGACATAGTGTGAAGGAAGAAAGACTAACCAACCTCCTTCTAACAAAAATAGAGTATAAATATTTTGTACTTTAACTATTTTTAAAAACTATATAAATTACATAAAAAAGTCACATGCCCTCAAAAACCTAATAGGTTGGGATTATTTAGTGTTAGGGCAAAGATCTATGTGCTGCTAAGTAAATCCTGCAGGTATCAGTCCTGGCTGGTGTGGCTCAGTTGATTGGAGCATCACCTGGTGCACAAAATCGGGTTCGATTCCCAGTCAGGGCACATACCCAGGTTGTGAGCAACAGATAGAAGTTTCTCTCTCACATTGATGTTTCTCTCTCTCTCCCCCTCTCTCTCTTCCTCTTGCTCTAAAATCAATTTTAAAAATTTAAAAATTATTTTAAAAATCCGGAGGGTATCACGCTTATAGAAGAATAAGTGATAGACCAAGAAGATTTAAACGATCAAGAAAAATCTTATAATGCTTAATCTACTCTTTAATAGGGCAAGGCATTAGTAAAAAAAGTTTTAATCCCCAATGGTTAACCTATTTTTTCTTTTGAAAGGCTGCCACTAATCCAGTTATTAGAAAATGCTATTAATGTGGGTACTGGATAAAACTAGATGAAGGGGGGCATTACTGTAGGTTTTTTCTTTCCTGAGCATCTGGTCATTTGGCCATCACAACATCCACGTGAACAGTCAAAGCAGGCATCCCTCCTCAGAATTGAGAGAGAGGCTCAGAGAAGGCCAGTGCCTTGCCCAAGGCCACAGGTCTTGAGGAGGAGTTAAGTGGAGAAGCCAGGCCTTCTCACTGACACATTACAGTGCGGCAACTCGCCTGCCCCAGGCTGCTCCACCCTGGTCTGACCTCTCAGGGAAATGCCTCAGCTGCTCCAAGTCAAATCCTCAACTTCACACAAAGCCACTGAGTGCAGAGCAGCCCACTGGGGCTTCAGAGGATACAAGATCAGGGTCACAGAACCTCTGGCCTCACGGAGCTTACCAGCTACACTACACTCTAGACCAGTGGTTCTCAACCTTCTGGCCCTTTAAAACAGTTCCTCATGTTGTGACCCAACCATAAAATTATTTTCGTTGCTACTTCATAACTGTAATGTTGCTACTGTTATGAATCATAGTGTAAATATCTGATATGCAGGATGGTCTTAGGTGACCCCTGTGAAAGGGTCGTTCGACCGCAAAAGGGGTCGCGACCCACAGGTTGAGAACCACTGCTCTAGACTCTAGAGCAGTGGTCGGCAAACTGCGGCTCACGAGCCACATGCAGCTCTTTGGCCCCTTAAGTGTGGCTCTTCCACAAAATACCGACTTCTGCACATGGGCCACAAAGTTTCATTTGCACTGTACATGCGCGCCTGCACGTGGTATTTTGTGGAAGAGCCTCACTCAAGGGGCCAAAGAGCCGCATGTGGCTCGCGAGCCGCGGTTTGCTGACCACTGCTCTAGAGCAGTGATGGCGAACCTATGACACGCGTACTCATTTTTTTGGTTGATTTTTCTTCGTTAAATGGCATTTAAATATATAAACTAAATATCAGAAATGTAAGTCTTTGTTTTACTGTGGTTGCAAATATCAAAATTTTCTATATGTGACACGGCACCAGAGTTAAGTTAGGGTTTTTCAAAATGCTGACACGCCGAGCTCAAAAGGTTCGCCATCACTGCTCTAGAGGGTGGGAGGATGGATAGGGGACAAAAAGAAGAAAGTGTAT